TTTCATTCTATCGATAAAGACTCCATTAGTTAACTTTGACATATAAAATAACAAATTAGAAAGCAATATAGCATTTATTATAGTTTGTTTAGATCATGCAGTTTAATTATTAGATTCTAACATTTGCAAAAATTGTAATCGATAAAGGCTAATAAAATTTGGTGTGATTGACAACGGGTTATCATGCGGTGCTAACTGAGTATTACTATGAACAAAAACCTCTCTTTCAGTTTCAATTCTTGGAATCTTTTATTTTAATTGCATTTATACTTTATTTACCACGATAGTAATATTAATCTTTGTCTGATTGACAGTATGTTTTCGTTTCAGTTACTTACGAAAAACGAAAACGTTTGCAATTTTACTGATTGCATTGCCCACATCATTAGTATACTTGCACTGATATTCTCCTTCATCATTTGCATCTGCATGAAGAAAATTATATCTGCCATAGAGATGAAAATCTTTTAAGTGCGTTCCGTTTATGTCAGCTTCAAGATCTCTTCCATTTTTTAGCCAAATAATGATGGGTTCAGGTGAAGCAGTTGCATTGCATTCCAAAAAACCATTTTTATCTTCCGTTATATTAATACTTTGCGGTTGTTGGACAATCCTAGGAGCATCTGCAAATATCGATAATTACAAAGTTAAGCAGAAATGAATTAAGTTAGTGTCAGAAAACTGACAGTAAATTTCGAGTTTTAGGATGCTACTCATTACTGCTATCCTAATTTATACATAATTAATGCCCCCCTCCCAAATTTTTGGATACTTAGTAAGAAACATGAATAATTATATTACTTAAAACTAAAAGTAATGTAGGTATATGTGAGGTTGATAGATCAAGAATCTTCAAAACTTTAGAAATTAAGATTTATTGAACAAAACCTCCTTTACGAAGATACAACGTAATCGATTAGCTGAGGACCTCTAACGAGAAAGAACTAACTTACTATACAAAAGGATTACAGCTACTAAGCTAGCTATATTTAATACTTAAGCTTCTAGCGAGTATATCTATCACATATTGAAA